AAATGAGGGGTTAGTGGATTTTCCTATGTTTCGAGGGGTGAATCGATTAGATTGGGACCGAAGAGAGTACCAGAGCTGAGCCAAAAAGTTGAGCACGTTTCTTCGGGACCTTCTAGTCTTAGAGTTACCTCTATGGATATAGTTTGCAACAACCATTGAAACATGCAAGAAAACTCTTTTCCAGGCAAACTGGCATACTACATCGACTTTATAGATTAATTTTCAATCGAAATTATCATTTTATTTCATGATGCTGTCAATTAGAGAGGGCCTAGTATAAGAGAGGAGCGGTCTGGTCTATTTTGAGCCAAACGAACTGTCAAAGCCAGAGCCAATCGAGCAGCGCCTATCTTGATTACATTGGCATTGTTGCTAGAAATCGTTGAAATAGGTTGCCAAGGTAGTTTGTTTTGAATCCGCTCCTCTCTTATACTAGACCCTTTGTACTGTCAATGCTATATCGAAGGCAACAAAAGTAAACAAAAGAGATATTCATCAATTTTCCAGGATAAAAGAGATTTAATCATTTTGGATTCATTTTCAATCGATTTTCGTGGATTTATAAATTTTATCTTATGGGAGGTGATTATAGGGTGTCCAAGAAATTATAGGCACATTTTCAACTTGCCGTTATTTCTACCCCGATTAAGTTTATCAGCTGTCCATCGATGTGCGTTGTTGTTTACGTATTGCTCAACAAGTTTCTGAGCGCAAAGTGCAGAAAAGAGCAAACAGATCGTGTAAAAATGGTGTGCACTATTCCCAACCTATCAGTAAGGAAGTATGCGAAAATTGAGGAAGTTAGTATCGGAGCAGGCCAAACCGCCATCCGGAAGTTCGGTGAACAAGCTTCCTTCGAGTAAACATCGAAATCTGCCGTAAACCGGGACCGGTGGACCGAAAAGTGAACCAGAAGATCACCAAGCTTTCGTCAGTAAGAAAAGGGCCTCTGTTTGAGATTTGGCCAAAAAACTGAGAACATCGAAGAGTACGGTCCAGCGTGCTAAGGCAAGAAACGGGCTGAAAACGTTCAAGAGTTCAAGAAGGAGAAGAAGCCAAAACGGAGTCAGAAACAAGTCGCATCCGTCATATTCGGAAGCTATATGATAGCATGCTGTGTGGAAAATTGACGATGAAACATACGTCAAATTTGACTACAAGACGCTTCCGGGAAACCAATACTATACAGTCCGTGATGGTGATATGTGAGTGTGGCTAGTTGTCAAAGCCATTTGTGAAGAAGGAGACGATGAACACTGAAATTTACGTTCGGAAGTGTTTGAATCGGCGTCCGCGGTCCATGATCCGTCAACATGATGGCCACGCACTTAGAAAAACTTATGTAAATTTAGATGCTTTGAGAATGACATATACGAGCGTAAATTTTGACATAAATTTGAGTCATAACAGACGCAAAATATAGCTTAATCAAACGTACTTTTCGTCGAGCAACGAACTTTTCAGTTTCGGAGCACTTAATATTACACGACATGTTTGTTTACGTCTCATTTTTTATGTCAAAGATGGATTCCGTCACTTGTAAAATTAGTCAATTCTACACACTTAAATTTTTTCGCCGAGATTCCAACAGCCAAGTAGTTCTGCAATTTAGTTTGCTGAGGTTCAGTAAAATAATTGCCGAGACTCAGCTAACAAACCCTAATAAAAAATAACCATAAACGAACGATAACCCTAATCATTGAACTATTCCACAAATGGTTTGGATGATATCCAGAACACGTCGTTAAGCAAATTAACCATACAATTTTTATTAGGGAATATCATTTTGCTGCGATATCAGCTAACAAACATATATTTTGCAGGTATATCGCAAAAGTAAATGCCGAGGTAATCGGCTGTTGGAGATTTTACCGAGCCAGATTAAGTGTGTAAGTGTAAATTACAATTTTGGGCCGATTTGGTGTCAATGCACTACTCGAAAGACACGGTAGCTTGGTACAAAGCAAACAATGCGCAACCAATCCTCTGCCAAGAAGGAGGGTTGCTGAAACCACCACCATTTGTGGTGTCAGCACTGTAGCCTACAGTTTTTATGCTATGTTTATATGTGTATTGACGAAATGTATGCGTTAAAAATCTTATGTGAATGATCATTAAAGAAACTAGAATTTTTCATGATTAGCTTGCCTAATTTTAAAGTTAATATGATAAATATTTAATTCCTACATGTACGCACTTGTTGAACATGTATCACTATTATTTTGCCACGCAACAAAACAAACATCAATGTGAACGGAGCATAATTTCTCAATGTTTGCATCAGCTGTCTTAGATTGGCAGATAATCGAGCCAAAGAACCAACAACTTTGGCTTCAAGCAAAATGTAGTTGGTTGACGTTTCTGCCACCGGAGTGTGCGCAACACGTGCCAAAAGAGATGAATCTTTCTAGTTGTCCAGAGGCCCGGTCAATCGAAACTTGTTGGGCCCTTTCCAAGAGATATCTACGGAAACACTTTAAGGCAGCGAATTCAATCGAAGAATTTAAAAAAAAAACTGGACAAAAGTGGCCAAAATTATCGCCAAAGAAAATGTGCTGAAGCTCATGGGCAGCATCAGATCAAAAGTTCGCTCCTTGGCATATTATTAAAGGAACTGCGGATTATTTTCGTCCAATTGAAAAAGAATACTATAGTTACATATATATGTAATAAAAATGTAAGTTAATTAACAAACCGTTGTTTTATTCCAATGATAAACTGTGCTTAAACTTTCTGGGACACCCTATATGTGTGTTTTTATCATATAAGGCTGTCAACGAAACAGTTGCGATCAGCTGACTTTTTTGTTTGCCAAGAACTTTTGACAGATCACAGTAGAACTGGCAGTTTATTCTCATATGAATTTCTACTTTGTTTATATTTACATTGCAGCACCATAAACACTAGATCACTCACACACTCTAGATTTCCAGCTGTCAGTGCCACTGAGAAACGTCTCTTTGATCACCTTTTTACAGTCGAATTTCGCTCGTTGGGCCGAGGGGGACGACTCTATCTACGATGCAGAAAAGATTGTGTTTTGCTGTGGCTAGCTGCACGCACGCTGAGTAGATAGAAGGAATATTTATGTCGATTTTGAAGATTTCGTGCAAAAAGATGAAGCACGATGCAAGAAGATGTGAGAAATGAAAGATGATTTTTCGAAGGTTGATTCGATAGTGTGAGATTTTTTGAGCATCTAGAATTGAGATTTAGATGTGTCGCCCCCCTCGCGTTGGGCTATCTTTAAGTGGGCTACGTTTTAGTTGGGCTCCCGTTAGATGGGCTGTAGCCTACCGAGCCTACCTAAATCGAAGTCAAACGTCATTTCTGACAGTGGTGATTAATTTTCGAGAAGCTCATGGATAAACAACTATCCAATTGCTATGGGTTTAGCCCAACGAGCGAAAGTTGATTGTATTGCATATTGCAACCATCTCTTCATTGCCTTAACCGAGATTGCATTTTAAGGCTGGATTTAATGCTATTCTTCGCACCTTTTCACAATCATCATCATTTTTCAGTAGTGACATCTGGCAGCAATTTTTGCGGCAATTCATCAGTACAGAAGTGCAGATCATTAAATTATAAAAAGATACAGAATTAAATATGGTAAGTCTGCTTGTACGTATAGATCAAGTCAGTTTGTATAAATCTAGTGCTCAGAATAATAAGGACCTACAGTTATAAGTTGAGTGAACAAATTTTCGGAAATTTCTACATTTAGGGGAAATGTCTCTAATGTTGGCCAATGGATCTAAGATTGGGCCCATCGCTAAAAATCTGCTATTTATCAATTTTATCTAGATGAACGCGTCATTGGGACGGTACTTATGGATATTTTTGGTTGCTATTGAAAATTTAGTCGATTGCTGAATTTATGTATGGGCCCAAATTAGGGACACTTAGGCCGACATTACCTGCATTTCCCCTAGTAGTGTGAAAAGCCGTATTGAGTAGCCAGGCATCAGCAAACGTACCGACAAATATTAATCCAGCTGAGTTATTAACGAAAGATAAAATCAATGTAGAGAATCTACCATTGAAATTCTGGCGTCACTTTTCAAATAGACCAATCTGCATTGATCAATTCTCTGCCTACTCTGTCATATTCTTATCGTCCAATACGCTCAATAATACTATCTTTTAACAGATTATGTAGAAAATTTAGCCCGTTATAAGAATGCAGCCAAGTTATTAACGAAAGAGAGAGTCAATGAAGAGAATCAATCAATGTAGATTGGTATATTTGAAAAGTGTCGCGATAGTTAGGCCCTTAGGATTCTGAACGTTTGAAATATCTTAAATAACTTTTTCTCACGATTCTGCCAATAAAAAAAAGATAATTCCGTTTTTTTTAAGTCAGTTCTGGGAAACGGCCTTTCCAACTAATTGCAGCAATAAATCACTCCCCCACTTATAACCTACTAACAAGACAAGAAATCCTCCAACAAGTTCACCTTCCTTTAACCAGAGCCAATCCTCCAACCAAGAAAAACTTTTTCACATTTTCCAACTGAACCGAAAAGAGTTTGCATTCCATTTATCATCAGAGCAGCTAGTTACAGCAAAAAGTGCACTCTAGCAGAAGCTGCAGTGTGCAGTTTTAAAATTTCCTCTAGTGGGCACTCTTTACAAATAAAAAAAAATGAATAGTTTTGGAAAAGTATTCACCGCCGTAGCTACACACTCAATTCCGCTGTCACTTAAGTCGTGGGTTGCTATGCACGGTCACAAAAAAAAAAAACTCGGTAAATGGAGGGATACATACCTGCATCGCTACTTCAAGATGAGGCCTCCTTAGTCAACCAAAAAAATGCGGAAAGTTTAACTGTTTTGATTCTTTTTCGCTTGTTGTAGTTGGGTATATTTCTGTGCACCGAACTTAAATGGGCAAGAAAAGTAAGCTTCTCTCTTTTTTCAAGACCGCGAAAAGTATGGTGCGTTAAAAAAATATTTTTTTTTCCGGTGTGCCTGATAAACCACGTTTCACTGCACTGTTTTTGTGTGTCTTGATGCTTCCTGTATCATTATATTCGGTATGTAAATGTTTCTCTTTTTTTTTGGTTTTTTTTCTCGACGGGTTCCTCTCTGCTACGGGTTGGGAAAGTGTATACATTCACTCATTTTGTGTTCTATTTTTTTACGATTTTGCTGCTTTTCTGCCTGTCTATGTGTTATGCAATATATGCGCTGTGATTTAGCTTGAATTATGTTCCGGATCCGAAGTGTAGTTTTTTTCGAGTTGCGATTTGTTGGAGCGTAAACTGAAAAAAGTTTTTCAAATTTGCTTGCTCTCACCCTTTTGCCTCTGACTGCATGTTCGTTGGTTTACACTAATCATACAATATTTGATTTTTTTTTGTCATTGCCCGTACTAAAATGTTTTTTTAGAAAGGATAATGCGTCTCCATTGAAGCAACGTTTCCACGGAAGATTTTGATCAATTTCTTAAGTTTGAGCTTCAGTCGTCTAAAAGATATACCTACTTGTTTTGCCGATCAATGTTACACGTTACTGCAATGCATTTAAATGTTTGGTACAATGAGTAAAAACCGCGAAAAATAAGCTCTCTTTCACACGTTTTGTAATTCGTCTTTCGTGTTACTCTCTAAATAATTCGACTAAAATAATCAACAAGGTGAATTTCGAATGCTGTTTAATTTTCTCCATGAAAGATCTCTTTTTACTGAAGATCAATGGAAGCTTAATTATCCCAACTATAATTTGTTGTTGCACATTTAACAGATAATCTGTAAGTATGTATTAATTGTGACGCTTTTGGGATATTTAAAAAGCCTTTCCATAGTTTACCGAAGTATCTGAAATAAACGACTCCAGAAAATGGTGAACTTTCATGAGAAAATCTTCAAATCCACAATTTCTGATCCTACATTTCCATAAGGGTGAGATTTGCTCAGTAAATCCGCCGGTTTTTATAATGATGATGATGCACGTTTCAAGCAAAACCGAAAAACTATTTCAACCCATCCTCCAGGGTGGCGGTCGGTAGCGGCTGCCCTCATCTTCAGCCTCAATGCTTAGTGACGTAAAGTTCCTGCAAGAAAAAAAAATGGAAAGGAAAACAATCTTGTAGAAAAATGTTAGCAAGAAAAAACTGCAACGTTTTAATTAGCTCTAGGTTTCTCGGTCAAAGTCATTAGGTACTCTCGTTAGTTTCATCCGCAAGGATCCGTTTCCACGGCTTTCGGAAGAGCTCTCGTTCGTAGCAGCGAACGAAAAGATTGTGTGAAATCGATAGTTGTAGGATGCCCTTTTTATATCTTGGTTCGATAATTGAGTTAAGAAGATGAAAACTTTCGTGAGCCTATCTTGTCACATCCCGTAGCCCATGAAAAAATAAAACTCTTTTCAGTTGCATACCAGACTTTAACCTGACTTATATATTTTTTGCCGAAGGCTAGTTCATCTCTTAATTTCATCACATAAAGGCTGACTAAAAGTAAATTGGTACGCCCCTCGCGCGCCGCTAGCACGTCTCTAGTGTTGGGAATCGAAAATCTTTGACAGTGGTTTATTTACAACTTCTATAGAAAACAACTGGTGCATGTTTGATCAAAGTAGTCGATCGCGTTCAGAAATAACGTGAAATGGAATTCGAAAGAAGAAAAAATATTGTGCACAAACACCTGGAAAATTCGGAGTGGTCCAGTTCCAAGCAGGCTAAAGTGCTGAAGATGCCGAAAACAACAGTTTGTCGATTGCTCAAAACCTACAAGAAAACCCTGAGTGTGGAAAGGAATTAGCGAACCTACGAAAAAACTGCAACCAGGAGTCGTCAGCTGCGCAGCAAGGTGTTGAGGCGCGTTAAAGCCAACCCCGGCCTTTCGATCCGAGATGTGGCCAGAAGGTACAACGTTAACATTCAAACGATGCGGAACATCCTTACCAGGGAAGGATACAAGTCGAAAAGCCAGTACACTCTGAACCGGCACATGAAGCAGAATTCTGTGGCCAAAAAGCGTGCAAGCGTGCACTTGAACGACCGTGTTTTGACGAAACACAAGGGCTGCACTTTGATTGATGACGAAAAATACTTCAAACTCGATTCCCGGTCAAAAGTTTTACATCGCGACTGGACGTGGGAATGTGCCGGGAAGATTCAACTTCAGGTTTGCCGACAAGTTCGCGGAGAAAGCCATGATTTGGCAAATGATTTGCAGTTGTGGCCTGAAAACGGAACCATTCGTCACATCCTCGACGATGACATCCCAAGTTCACATCGAAGAATGCCTGAAAAAGCGTGTATTGCCAATCATCCGCAAGCATAGGGAAAAGGTCATCTCAAGGCTCTAGAGTGGAATGCTGCCAACAATATATATATTTTGTTCCCAAGCTAATGCCTCCGAATTGCCCGGAATTTCGACCAATCGAAAAATACTGGGCAATTTCAAAGCAGCGACTTCGACTAAGCGGCGGGGCAGTGAAGGACATCCAGCAAATGCGGGCAAAATGGAAGAATGCGCTGGTTCGAGATTTCGTTTGAACTGGAGAAATGTAACTATCTAATGCAGTAGCTTTGAAGTTTTAATAAAAGTACTGTAAAGCAACCATTAACTGACATAACCCCAATGCTGCAAAATGCGTGTCGATGCATGTTGACATGGCTGGTTCTCAGCAATGCAATGACCAATCGTTGTGGTTCAGCCATCATTCAAAAGGTATGGCTATCTACTTTCGTTTGGAATAGGTAGACATTCAATTGGACCTTTGGTTGGCCAGCCGGAACGGAAAAAACCCGGAAAAGTCCCGAGCAAAATGCGTGTCGATTCATGTTGACATGACTGGTTCTCGGCAATTTGGTCACCACATCTTAAGATTGAGCCACTACTTGAAAGGTATGACTATCTATTTTCAACCGGAACAGACAAGGAACCGATTGAAGTTATGGAGAGGATACCGTTTTCAGGCCACTGTGTTTCAAAATCGATATGGTGATGGTATATTTCCTCTATGCTCATGATTGTATGCAATTTAGAAAAAATCGCAGATCTCTAGGTCTACTTTCAGGAATTGACCATTTTCCCGGTGAATCCGAATTTACACAGAGCCACCTTTCACGGGTTTTATCGTTCCGATTAGCCACCCACAACTCCAATCGGTTCCTTGTCTGTTCCGCTTGAAAGTAGATAGTCATACCTTACAAGTACTGATTTATTCTTAAGATTTTTTTTTTTTTATAATTACTTTATTTGTACAGGCTCAATCGAATAAACTTTACAGAGCCGAGTTATCCTTTGCGTTATACATTATTACTGTCTTAAATTTAAAGTTAAAGGAACTGGACCGAGTACTCGCGGTTGTCTCGAGGTTAGTGGAGATTTACAATTTTTTGGATGGGAAAAAGGGAAGAAGGAGGTTTGAAATGTGGTTTACGATACAACTATTTAATTAATCCTAAAGCATGAAATTATTTCTATTCATCTTGGAAACAAACATTGAAAAAAAAAACCCCACACGTACAAAATACAAACTAAACACAAGGTTAATCAAACTTACAATCTAAGGTTAATATCCTTAAAGTAAACATATATGAGTTTCATAAACTCCAGATCGCGTCTAGCCAAAATATCCCGAACTGGAACATTAGGTTGTCTACCTCGAGCCCGAAGGGAATCATAAAAATGTGACCTGACTCCACGATACTCCGCACAAGACCAAAGGATGTGATCAGCGTCCTGGTAACCTTGTCCACATTCACAGAGATTGCTGTCTCCCAACCCCACACGGAACAAGTGAGCGTTTAGACAATAGTGATTGGACATGAGACGAGACATCACGCGTATGAAGTCTCGACTCAAGTCCAACCCTTTGAACCATGCAAACTTCGACACCTTAGGGATAATTGAATGTAGCCATCGTCCCAAGCTCCCTTCACTCCATTGATGTTGCCAGCTAACGAGCGACTGCTGACGATAAATAGAGAAAAATTCACTATAGGCGATCTGTCGATCATAAATGTCGCCTTCCATAGCGCCCACCTTCGCAAGTGAATCCGCCTTCTCATTGCCCAAAATTGAGCAATGCGAAGGGACCCACGCGAAGGTGATGATGAAAGAGCGCACGGATAAAGTACTAAGCAGTTCTCGTATTTTCAAGAGAAAATACGAGAAGTGCTTTACCGGCCTAATGGAACGGATAGCCTCGACAGAACTGAGACTATCCGTAAAAATAAAGTAGTGGTCTGGAAGAAGTGAAGCAATTGTTTCCAAAGTGTAGTGAATTGCTGCCAGTTCAGCCACATACACAGAACAAGGAGCTTCAAGTTTTCGAGAGGCGCTATGAAATTCATTAAATACACCAAAACCAGCGGACTCCTCTATTAGAGATCCATCTGTGAAAAACGTTCTTGCAGAATCAACATGGCCAAACTTTGCAGCGTATAATGACGGAGCAATCATAGGACGATGATGCTCTGGAATTCCGCGGATTTCCTGCGTCATAGATAAATCAAAATTCACTGAATTGCCGAAATCGGAGAATATTACACGATTGGGAATATTTCTTGAAGGGCTGACATCCTGTGTTAAATATAGGTAGTACAAAGTCATAAAACATGTTTGAGGATTTAGCTCCAGAAGCTTCTCAAAATTTTCGATCACCAGTGGGTTCATTACTTCGCAACGGGTGAGGAGCCTCAGAGATAACTCTGAAAAACGGACGGATAGTGGCAACATGCCCGCCAGCACTTCGAGACTCATAGTATGAGTCGAGTGCATGCATCCTAACGCGATACGAAGACAACGATACTGGATCCGTTCCAGCTTGATGATGTGGGTTTTAGCTGCCGACTGAAAACAAAAACTACCATATTCTAGAACCGATAAAATCGTTGTCCGGTACAACGTCAGAAGATCTTGTGGATGGGCTCCCCACCACGTTCCGGTAATTGATCGAAGGAAATTGATCCTTAGTTGGCATTTTCGTCTCAGATACTCAATGTGGGATCTCCAGGTGCATTTGGAATCGAACCAGACCCCGAGATATTTAAAAGACATGGAATGAGTGACCGGTTTACCCAAAAGTTGAAGCTTCGGTTGTGCTGGGCTATGCTTCCTAGAAAAAACGACCAACTCAGTTTTCTCCGTGGAGAATTCGATACCCAGCTGAATAGCCCAAGTAGACAAATTGTCCAAGGTATCCTGTAAGGGTCCTTGCAGGTCAACCTCTTTTGGCCCTGTGATAGACACTACGCCGTCATCTGCAAGTTGTCTCAACGTGCAATTGTCATTAAGACAATTGTCAATTTCTCTAACGTAGAAATTGTACAAAAGGGGGCTTAAACATGAGCCTTGGGGGAGACCCATGTAGCTAAATCGAAAAGCTGTAGAGTTTCCATGAGAAAAGCTCATATGTTTTTCTGACAGCAAATTGTACAAAAAATTATTCATTAATGGAGACAATCCACAAGCGTGGAGTTTCTCTGAAAGAACTTCAACGGATACTGAATCAAAAGCCCCCTTGATATCCAAGAACACAGAAGCCATTTGCTCTTTCTTAGCAAAAGCCAACTGAATTTCCGAGGAAAGCAACGCGAGACAGTCGTTCGTTCCCTTACCCCTACGGAAACCAAATTGAGTATCTGAAAGAAGGTGGTTCGTCTCAACCCATTTGTCGAGGCGAAAAAGGATCATTTTCTCCATCAATTTCCGAATACACGACAGCATCGCGATGGGCCGATACGAATTGTGATCCGACGCGGGTTTATCAGGCTTTTTAATGGCTATCACCCTCACTCGTCTCCAATCGTCGGGAACAATATTGAGCTCCAAGAGCTGATTGTACAAGTTCAACATGCGCCTCTTAGCGACGTCTGGGAGGTTTTTCAGCAAGTTGAACTTGATTCTATCAGATCCCGGGGCAGAATTGCCACACGAAAGGAGAGCGAGTGAAAGTTCCACCATTGAAAAAGGCTGACTGATTTCGTCTAGCGAATTCGCGGTTTCGCGAGGAATCAACTGCGACGGCACGGAATCCGGACACACTTTTCGCGCGAATTTAAGAATCCATTGATCCGAGCATTCCTCGCTTTCGTTG